TAGTAAATTGATGGACGTTTCTCAATGATTTAGCTTGCATGATAAGCTAAGAAGTAACATATTCTCTAATAAATTCTCAATAAATCTTATACTTTTAAGGTAATATTATTTTTGGAATATCTTGTTGATAAAGCTAAAGGAGAACATCTCGTGAGAAAATATTGGTTTTAGAGAGAAAATATCTTATCAATTAATTTTGCTTTAAATGCATGATTTTAAAAGTGAAAATATCTTGTCAATTAATTTTGTTTCTCTGACATCTAAAATATTTAATGAGTATTTAATGAATTAAACAGAGAAAGGATCGCAAAAGGATGTTCTTTGAATCGAAAAAATACAAAAGGTAAGTATTTAAATGAATTTCCTTTTTAGTAGTGTCGATGGTAAAAATAAATCAAAAAAAAAAAATTGTAAAAAATCAACCAATAGAATCGGTAAAATTCTTCTGAGAAGGACCGTGTGAGTGCCACGTGTCAAAGTGACTTCTCTTTTAATGTATAGGGGTATTCCACAAAATTTCCATAATAAAAAAAAAGTTGAAGATCACAAATACATTCTTAGTACTAAAGCCCGATCCGTACAGACAAAAGACATTTTCTGATAGTTGATTAGCTCACTTCTCTTTACTATTCTCTGAGCAACCAGAATCAGAATCTATGATTCTCACAACAAAAAACAAATCGAAAGTTTATACAATGGAAAAAGATATTAATAGTAAACGATTTTGATTAATTTGAGAGAGAACCCAAAAAAAATAAGTGACAGTAATACCATTTTTTATCGATCTAGGAAGGGATAATATAATCTTTTCCTCCTACAGATCTGTCTCGCTCTGCCGCTGCTTGAGTTAATCTCTTCAACTTCTTTGGATTTGGATTGTTTCTCTTCATACTCTCTTTGGCATTCTTCAAATAGTGCATTTTTATTCAAATGTGGCCCTATATTTAAAATATTTTATAATTTATTTTTAATATATAAAATTAGGAAAAAGATGAATCATCATGCAAATGCTGAGTTTTAGTATGTTAAACTAATATTTGTAAATTTAGTAGTTGAGTATGTAAGAAATTGTGTTTCTAGCCCGTGAATCATTATTTTATTTTATTTTTTTAGTCAACAATAATTTTTTTTTGAAAAAAAGATGTTTACTTTACTTCGATATTTTGACTTTTATTAGTAATAGTCTAAACAGATATTGGTGGAATTTTTCAAGAGGATTTCAATGTTTAAAAGCATAAGTGTTGAAAATCATTAGTTAAACTAAAATAAGATACAAAACAATAGAGCACAGAGAGGAATGATAAATTTTGACCAAAAAAAGAAAAGAAAAAAAGAGACGAGTGATAATTACTTGGTTAAAAGTAAATTAATAAAATGAAACCAAAAGTGACATTACCCTCGATATTACATTGGTAACAAGACTGGAACCTTTGACGATTAGGATGGAATAATTAAGAAATCAAATCACTTTGACCAGAATATATTTTAAACATGCGGCCTAAATTGTTTTATACTATTTGGTAGCCTTGGAGCACCCCCATCAGTGAACCGAAGGGGGAGGTTCATAAAACAAAATATATTTTTTTTTTCTTTTTTTTCGTTTGTTTTAAAAAAAATAATAATAATAATAATAGTGGACCAATCGCGGGCCGTCACATGGCATGGGGTCCGCGTGAACAGTGTTGATCCGGGTTCATCCCCATGACCCCCATCGACTTAGGTTCATAATTTTTATTATATTTTATTTTTTTTTTGTCTTGGATTTTGTGTAAACCCCCCCCCCCATTGAACCTCCAATGGGGGTGCTCTTAGGGAAGGGATGGGTCTGCTGCCTGGTTCCAGGGAGACTGGATGTTCTTCTCCAATGCTTTGGTTCTGCGAGATTAGACCCACTAGGTGCTCGTTGCTCCACAAGAACAGTGCTCGTTCTGCAACCTGTATCAGATTTTTTTATGAGATATGAATAAAAGTATCAGGCACAAAACCCACGTAAAATTCCAAAGTTTGAGAGCGACTTCACAAAGATATAACACAAAAATTGTGTAACTGCTAGCATCCAGTGAAATTAACCACAGACTTGTGATTAGAATCAATGAGATCAAACCTGCTCTAGTCTAAAACACAAATGGATTTCAACCACATAGAGAAAGATGCTTATATCTTACTTTTCTAGAGTAGTAGTATCTATCAACAAGTTGACGTCAAGGTGATACGCATAGAGGACATTCAAACAATATCTCAAATTCATTACCTCAATATGCTAAATTATTCCGAAACATAATTATCTAAAGAAACAAAATATCCAACGTTAAGGTGGTATGTATAATGTATAACAAAATTACTAACCTGAAAGTGAGAGAGCTATTGAGGCAGCGAGAACCAACAGCTAAGACATGGCTTTGGTAAAGCAAATGTTAATATTCTCGGGCAGCTCTAATACGAATAATCTGGCCGCTCTGGGATAGAATAACCGGGCTCCTCTGGAACAGAATATATACACTCCATGGAACAAAATAATAGCCTTTTCAAGCTTCTTGTTGTATAAACTTTATAGGCTATTCTGTAACGGCAATGCTTTCGACACCACACGCATATTTCTCGAGTAAGACCATCGTTGGGAATTATCTCAAACCATACTCCGTTGCTTTCGAATGCTTGACCATGGTTCACAAAAGGATCAACCCCCAATAGACATTCAATGTGAACTGTGGTGCTACACAACGAATTGCACGTATAAAACCCAACATGTGGATATGTTTCCCTTTCGCACATGTCACACCAATTGTACACTCCTGTATCTTCTTCGTATGATAAAGTGAGATAATGTTCATCATGTTTGTACTTCACCTTATATGGTAAAGTGGCACAACGGAAACAAAAAACAAAGGAACATTTGATACAGTTCAAATGTATCCTTTGTTTTCCACACATGGAACATGTTCTAAATATGCCTTGTTCAAATGTTAAGAATAAGGGATGTGGATGCAACTCATGAGTGAAAGGCTCGGAAACCAAAGCGCATCGTACATCTATTTGGAAATAACAATGTTCATAACATGTGTATGCAGAGCTACAACAATGGTTTTCACAAGCCACGCACTTGAATTCTCGATTCTGAGCCACTTCTAGAGTAAGTGGATGGGCATGCAGTGGATGCCATCTTTTACGAGGAAGATGTGCACATGTTTCATGGAGGATAAAATCACATCTCATGCAATTATAAATGTTACCTTCATTGATAGGAAGGATGCACACTTGACACCTTTTTCCGTCTTCCACATGATCATTCTCCTTCTTGTCAAGTCTCATGTAATGATTTGGATGACTGACATGTTCTATGACTCCGTCGCTTATTTCTTTGAACGCGTTAATATCTTCATACTCGGCTTCTTCTGGTTCTCCTTCGAGTTCTTTTCCGTCCCATAAATCTTTTCGTGTTGCACATTTAGAATGAACAACGTAATTACAATCCTTCACACAAGAGTATTTTCCATAATTTTTGTCAACTCTTTGGCGACAAACTCCACAATACCATTTATGCTTATTAGGATGAGGAAGAAGAGTGAAAGAGAGACGGTGGTCATGACGGGATATTTTGATTTTGATTGGTAAGTAGATACACGTCTTATGGACGACGAAATCGCATTGATAACAGACGTAAATGAAGCATTTATCATCACTCAATGCACAAACGTCACAAGTTATGGAGTTTATTCTAGGGAAGTAGGTGAGGGTATGGTCATGCCTTTTTGGGTAGTTTATAGAAAGGATGTTCCGACTTAATGCACAAACAGGATGCAAATTAAAATCACATATAGAACAAGAGTAATAAAAGGAACCTTCATGAGTATTTTCTCCACAACAATTACACTTGTTGTAGTGGCTGCTCCCTACAGGAAGTGTACTCTTGGGGGATGAAAAAAGAAGTTGGAGAGGGTGTTTGGGATGGTAAGGGACTTTAATTTCAGGTGGAGATTCAACACATTCTTTGTGGTAGGCTTGGTCACATTTGTCACACCAAAAATCAGTGAAATAATTTATTTTACGACTGCAAACGTCACACAAATAGGTAATGTCCGAATAAAGTTTGCTGATGACAGAATCGAAGAAGGAAAGACGGTGAGATTCTTCTAAAGACGGATCAGTTTGTTTTTCAATGAAATAGGTTTCTGGGTCCATTTGTTTTTTGTATCGTAGCCTAGGGCATAAGAAAGTTGTAGGAGGAGAAAAGTGGTTGAGGGAGTCCATGGCTTGTACAAAATAGGTTAAGGCTGTATGTAAGAGATTTGAAGAGTGGTTTAATTTTAGTTCTGCAGAATCCATCCATATATATATATAGGTGGTTAAAAGAAATTCAGATACATAGATTTACGCATCATTATTCCAATTATAAAGGATAGAGATTAGAATAACATAACAGTTGAGGCAAAGTATTTTGGTTTATATACTTGTTTAAATGCCACACTCAAGGTACTAATAATATACCTCTTTTGTAGAAAACTCGTACGTGACTTATATACCAACTCTTTCTTGTTATTCCTAAGGATTCTTAGAAACTAAACTAAGTATTTACTTTATTGGATAAACTAATTAAATTTGGTACGGTTTAAATTTTTGTATTCTAGTTGCAAGATCCATGGTTCCATGCGACCAGGTGTAGCATTGACTCTTCTTCTTATGTTCTCATCATCTTGCTGCTGTTAAAGACAGAGTTCAAAGAACCTCTCAGTGCATGCACAAAAGAATGCAAAAACGTTTCATATCCAAAATTTTATGAAAAATATAAGGTAACTTGATGTGAGGATGCTCTATCGTTACTTGGGGTTGCAAGTCCAGCAACAGGCTCATCTTCAACCTGAGAGTAGTTTCAGCCGTCAGAAATGAATAGTACTACATATCAAGGATTCAAGTCATCACTGAAAAAAAAAACATTAGGGAACCACAAGACCCCACTCTTTGTTGTCCTTCCTTTACGTTACCAACTTTTTACAAACTGAAAACAAGCCATAACAATCTATATTATAATGAGGGAGTTTACTCACTCCCAACGCGCCACGTCAGCATTTTCTTAATGGTCCACGCAAGGTTTTTTAACTACAAAAGTTATTAACGCTGACTATTAACAATAGATGGTCATTTGGCCGAGTGGTATAATCTGAATACCCAAAGCTTCATTCTGCAGGTATCAGGTTCGATTCCCCCTAAAATCTNAATCTATATTATAATGAGGGAGTTTACTCACTCCCAACGCGCCACGTCAGCATTTTCTTAATGGTCCACGCAAGGTTTTTTAACTACAAAAGTTATTAACGCTGACTATTAACAATAGATGGTCATTTGGCCGAGTGGTATAATCTGAATACCCAAAGCTTCATTCTGCAGGTATCAGGTTCGATTCCCCCTAAAATCTTTTTTTTTTTTTGGGTTCGTATGTTAAATTTAGTTACCGGACTTTATTTGTTTTTCAGCCCATTTAAGTTTGTTCTGTTACAGACATCTAGATCTTTCTTTCTCAAGACGATCTCGATTCCGGCGAACGTATTCCCAAACTTCGCACTCTTCGTCTCCTCTCCTCATCTTTAATTTTTGTAACTCTTATGCCATCAGTTACGACTTGGATCCATCTATATATATATATATGTTTGTAGATCGGGTCTCTGGTTTCTCCGGGTTTTTTTCTCCTTATATTCTGATAAACCCCGCAGTCGTTGTCGAAGTGATGTCTTCTTCAGATGCTCAGATCACCAACGCCGCCGTCGAATACTTCACTTGCGCTGCAAAGCTTCTGTTTCCCGATCTCAAAACCAGTAATGTATTTATTGGCATGGTTATTACTGAATCCGAAAGGTGCATTGTCTATTGTATGATCGATTTCCTGATATAATTTCATTTTTATATATCATGAAAATTGGTAATTCCGTAAGATTTTTACCTTGTGCTATTTTGTTGGAATCCTAATGACAAGTTATATGTGGTAATGCAGATGAATCTTACCAAGTAGAGATAATATTGGAACTTCTGGGCAAGAACAAGTTTTCTGGAATCTCTGAGATAATATTGTTTGAGTTTCTATTCAGCTTCAGGTTAAATTTTTTTTGGATCATATCACTTTGTATTTGTTTCCAGTTTGGATTACAATTGAACCCTACTTTAGTTTTTCTTCCTTGGGATCGTTTCCAAGACTGATGACTTTCAGAATCAGGCTCAGCCTCTTG